TCCTGCATATTTAATCCATTCTTTCTTCAATGGATCCTTCTTTGGATCATGAGGTTCTGGAATAGTGAAATGAGCCTACACATATAGTATACGACATATGTTGTTAGTATATGATTATAAAATATAATAAAGTGTAGCAGTAAAACATACCTGAACATCAGTCCAAATAGCCTCTTTTATGCCTTCATCTATGTCTTTCCACTCATTTTTCAAAATACTACATCTTTGTCGAGCAAGAGACGCTATGTAACTCCTAAAATTTGAAGAATTTTTACCCATACATCCCTTAGTCATCGGATGAAACTCGACCTTTATCTTTTCACCCGTTTGATGAACTTTGTTAATTTGTGTCATCAAAGTGGGACCTCTAACTCTTCTTTTTTTAGGGTCACTAGATGAAGAAGGGTTGTCGGTTGAATCAGTCATGTATCTGTTAACACAAAATAAAAACAATTAGAAATCAAATTAAGCACAAAATATAAACAATTAGACATCAAATTAAGCACAAAATATAAACAATTAGACATCAAATTAAGCATAAAATATAAACAATTAGACATAAAATTAAGCACTAAATAAATAAATAAATAGAAATTAAAGTATAAAATAACCTTACTAGTCCTCCCATATGCCTTCTTCATGATCTATGCGAATAGCATGCACGTCATCCTCTTCGTTTTCTTCAACGAAGGTAGGCACATTCATTGAGAAAGGAGGAGTTTCGGAAATATCAAGGTTTGCATCTTGGTTTTCATCACTATCATGCACCTTTCCTTGTATAACCACTGACCACCTTTTATTAGAAGGATCTGTGACATAAAACACTTGTTTTGCTTGAGACGCCATAATGAAAGGTTCGTCCGCATAAGCTAGCTTGCTAAGATCAACCGATGTAACTCCGAATTCATCGATTCTTACACCACTGTTGATATCAATCCATTTGCATTTAAATACAGGAACTTTAAACACAACATAATCAACTTCCCAAATCTCTTCAATCACCCCAAAGTAGGGTGTAGATGCCATAACCGGGTTTTTATCTTTAGCACTAGAGAAGTGCATGGACTCAGCCACAATCATAACCCCACTATTCTGTGTGGTACTACGATCATCCTTTGACTTTGTACAAAAGCAAGTTTTATTAATATCATATCCACTCCAAGTTATTATGTTACATTTAGGCTCATAGGACAACCACTTAATTGTATTGGAAGCACTATCCTCATTAGAAATTTTTTCTTTAAACCACTCAGAGAAACTCTTATTATGCTCTTTTAACAACCATCTTTCATTCATCTTGGGGTACTTTTTCTTTATGATGCTTTTGTGAGCAGATAAGTAAGGTTGAACTTCATCCGTGTTATTCAATATATACAAATGCGCTCGAAGAACCACATCAATACTTAAGCTCTTGACCTTTAAACCTTGTGTACCCACACCCTCACATCTTCCATCATGACGAGACTTGGGAACCCCTACAGCATCCACTTCTGACAAATAGTTCGAACAAAACTCAATTGCTTCTTCTGCGATGTACCTCTCAACAATTGATGCTTCCGGACGGTGTGGGTTTTTTGTATACCCTTTTAAGATCTTCATGTATCGCTCTATTGGGTACATCCATCGTAAATAAATTGGACCACATAATCTAATCTCCCTTACTAGATGAACAATCAAGTGAACCATAATGTCAAAAAATGAAGGAGGAAAATACATCTCTAATTGGCATAAGATAACTGCAGCCTCATTTTCCAAAATTTCTAGCTTTAATGGATCAATGGCTTTACAACAAATTGCATTGAAAAATAAGCACAACCTAGTTATAGTCTTCCTAACATTGTTAGGCAATATCCCACGAATAGCCACTGGTAGTAGCTATTGCATTAAGACATGACAATCATGAGATTTTAATCCAATTAATTTGAGATCTTTACCTGAGACAAGCCTATTGACATTTGATGAGTATCCATGCGGCACTTTAATACTTTGTAAACACTCACAGAAACTTATTTTTTCTTTTTTAGACAGAGTGTAGCAGGCAGGAGGCAAATATATCTTATTACCTATATGTTGTGGAGTTAACTCTTCTCGTATACCCATCAAACTCAAATCCAGACGAGCATTATAACCATCTTTTGTCTTGCCTTGAATGTTGAGAAGTGTTCCGATTAAACTATCACATACATTTTTCTCCACGTGCATCATATCAATACAATGTCTTACATCAAGACTAGACCAATATGAAAGATTGAAGAAAACCGACCTCTTTTTCCATATATTTTTCACAGTAGATTGCTTTTGGTATTTTCCAAAGACGACATTAATGCCTTGTTGTCGTTGATAAACTTCCTCTCCAGTTAAGGGCTTTGGAGCAACACCATGCTCTTGTTCCCCATTGAAAGCTTTCCGCAATCTACGATATGGATGATAACGATCTAGAAATTTTCGATGCCCGAGATAAACAGTCTTCTTTCCTTTTACAAGTTGATGGTAACATGTGTCTTTTTCACATATAGGACATGCTCTATGCCCTTTAACTTTATAACCAGACAAATTGCCATATGCCGGAAAATCGTTGATGGTGCAAAACAACATGGCACGCATATTGAACTGTTCACCAGAATACGCATCAAAAACATCCACCCCTTCCTCCCACAACACTTTTAAATCATCAATCAGAGGACTTAGATAAACATCTATGTCATTTCCGGGTTGTTTTGGGCCCGAAATCATCATCGATAACATAATATATTTACGCTTCATGCACAACCTAGGAGATAAGTTGTAGATCATCAGGAGAACAGGCCAACAAGTATGGTTAGTACTTAGATTACCAAACGGATTCATTCCATCAGTTGAAAGTCCAAGTCTAAGGTTTCTCGACTCTTTGCCAAAATTTGGAAATAAAACATCTATTTTCTTCCATTGTAAAGAATCAGCTACATGGCAAATTTTTCCATCACACTTTCTTTCTTCTGCATGCCATCTAAGATTCTTTGCGTCATTTGCATTAGCGAATAGTCTCTTGAACCTTGAAATTATTGGTAGGTACCATACCACTTTCGCGGGAGGAACCTTTTTTACCGCCTCATCATCACTAGAATCACCAGCATTCTTTTTGTAGCGGGATGCCTTGCACTTCGGACAATGATTATAGTTTACATACTCTTTTCTGTATAATATGCAATCATTAGGGCATGCATGTATCTTTTCATACTCCAAACCCATCGGGCATAATATCTTTTTCGCCTCGTAATAACGATTTGGCATTACGTTACCTTCTGGAAGCATCTGTGTCAACAATTCAAGCAATTCGCTAAAACTTTTGTCAGTCCACCCATTATTTGCCTTCAAATTAAACAATTTTAACACGGCTGACAAACGTGTAAAATTTGTGCATCCCGGATACAAAGGTTTATCCTTGTCACTGCATAAAGTATCATACGCGTGCGCCTTCTTAAACGAATCTTGTCCAATATCACGCATCATGTCTTCCAGACGATCATCCATTTCTGCACTAACATTATCTCTTTGGGACACATTTGACTTTGCTACTACCTCACCGTGCCATATCCATTGTGTATAACTTTGACAAATCCCATGACAAATTAGATGATCCATGATTTCTTTCTTATTGAGTTTTGGTTCGTGATTTGCACAACGAACACATGGACAGAGAAAAAGCAAATGAAGACTTTTTTCAGCATCACTCTTAGGAGGAGCAAGATTTTTTTTAGCATTACTTTCAGCAAGCTCTAGAAATTCCATCACTCCTTGTTCGTACTCGAAACTTAATCGATTGGCTCTCATCCAACTACGATTCATACCTATGTTCCGAAATTATTAATGCATACAGAGTTAAATCATTGGAATTCCTACAATAGTCCCTCTTTTAGACATTAGAGAGAACAAAAAGTATCTATGTGTAAACACATGGCATAAAAGAAGAATTAAGAAGTTATAAAGAATGAAAACAGAACCTGCAATTACGTGGCGGCCGAATGACTTGCGGTTAAGAGAAAAAGAGGGACACAAATCCTGCGAGAAACGAAAAATCAATTTTTATTCCATGAGACACCACTAATTAATACGTCATATCACTAAATTATAATTTATTTATTTTAATATATCTCTAAATTAAAACAAGCCTAATAATATGTTTATATTTCTCATGTAATTTTTATCATCAAAAACACCCTTTAAAATCCTACTTTTTTTTCCCCTTAGGTACAGTACTCCCTCACCTCACACTTCAATCTTTTGTTTTTACTTGGTACTACTACTGTCTTGTGTTAGAATATTATTAATACACTTGTTTTCTTTTTTTTTTCTTTTAATATATAAAAAATATATAAACTCTTTTAATTAATAATATCAAAGCCTTACAATATCTACATTCAAGAATGGCATCCTCTAAATCAGAATAATCTATTAAAAAATAGTTTGATAGTTGCATTATGCGTGCATGTTATGTAATTGGACGTTCAGATTAGTTGTATATCAAGAATGGGCAATTAATGGCATGTATGTTTCGTACAATATAAGGAGTGGAAAAAATGGAAGTACTGTAACCGTTACATTTGAATGTTATTATATTGATCACTAAGAAAATATAAGTAGTTGGGAAAATGTAATATTCAAACAGTAAAAACTATAATTTCACACTCTTACATAGTGTTGATATTACTGGTTCCATGTTAAGTAGATGGAAAAAACTCCTTTCCTATGAAATGGTTTTGTTGGTTTATACACATGCTTGTATTGTCTTTTTCAGCAACAACTTGTGGGTTGATGTTTTCGTCTTGGAATTTTGTTGAAACATTCTAGAACCTGGTAATTAGATTAGCGCCTAATCCATCAATGTTAAAGACTCTAGGAGAGGACACTAATGATAGAGTGTCTCTAAGTCCTCTTCATGGAATTATATGTAAAATATTTGTTAAAACTACTTATAATATATAAAAAATATTTTATTTAATTTTATGTTTTATTATAAAACTATGGTGGAGGAGTTGTTCTTCTGGAATGGAAGCAACAACCCAAACCCACTTCAACAATTTCAACATAACAACTCTAATCTACTTCTTCTCTCTGGTCCTCCTTCTTCGTAATACACTTTCTCTGCCTACAATTTTACTTGTTTCATTTCTTCTTCTTCTTCTTTTTCTAATTAATAATCAATTTTCTACACAGCGGAAAGACTTCACTTCTTTTCCAATTTGCATTCAATGTAGCAGCAGCACTTCACTCTAACTCTTCCAACCCAAATGTTGTCTTCATCTGTAACCAAAACAGATTGGATTCCAAACCCCCTTTTCTTTCTCAGGGAATTGACCCATCTTCGAATATCTTCCGACGTATACAAATGAAGTATATACTATATACCATAACCCTTTTTTGTTATCTTTCATTAGTCATCACCAGTTATATATTTACGCTAATTTAATTATTTTTAATATTAATCAAACATTTTTCGGGTCTAAAATAAAGCAACAATGACTATAATCAAAAAAACATATATTCTAAGGAATTTTTATAGATAAATCAACAAAACCTCCCCTAAATCTCAGACGAAAAAACCACAATAGAATCAACAAGTTCAACAATTTAATCTTGAACTAACCCTAACCTTTAACGGATATAAGAATAAAAAAATGAAAGAACATAGACATATATGAATTAAAATTAAGGAGTATAGAACCTTAAAATGATGTCAGAATCGAAACCGTGTTCGGATGGTGGTGAGAACGGTGACCGGCGGAGGGAGGGAGAATGGCGGAGGAAGAGAGAACAACGAACGGCGGAGGGGGGAGAACGTCGAACGGTGGAGGTAGGGAGAACGGCGAACGGCGAACGGCGGAGGGGGGAGAACGTCGAACGGTGGAGGTAGGGAGAACGGCGAACGGCGAACGGCGGAGGGGGGAGAACGGCGAACGAAGGGAGGGAGGGAGAACGGCGGGTTTGGTGAAGGTTCGTAGTGGGTTTTGGTAAAATGTGCAAGTTTTGGTGAAGAAACAGTATTTGTGGGTTTAGTAGAAATATCCATGTAACTTTTTAAATCGGTGGACTTTACAACCGATTTAAAATCCAATTCATTAATTATCTTTTAAATCGGTGGGTTTTTAAACCGATTTAAAATCTATGTTTTATTAAATCGGTGGATTTTAAGACCGATTTAAAAAATAATTTATTAAATAACTTCTTAAATCGGTGGATTTGAAAACCGATTTAAAATCCCATTCATTAATTAAGGAAATGAATTAAATAACTTCTTAAATCGGTGGAAATAAAACCGATTTAAAATCTAATTTATTAATTTTTTTATTATTACTTTTGAGTGGCTTTTTAAATCGGTGGATTTAAGAACCGATTTAAAATCTCATTCATTAATTATTTTTTATTATTACTTTTTAAATCGGTTGGAAATATACCCGATTTAAAAACCCTTTTACTAATTTTTTTTAATTTTTTACATCGGTGGATTGATTGGCCCGATGTAATAGATGTTATAAAACTTTTTTTTATTAATTACGATACTGCCACCGTGTTTATATTTTTAGATTTTACATTGGTTCGAGTGAATACCCGATGTAAAATAATTTTCCCAAATGTCTTTTTTCTAGTAGTGAGAACTCAACTTATGGCTTTGACAAGTCAAGGGCATTTTGGTCATTTGGAGGTTATAGGTCATTTCAAGCATAAGGCCATATCTCCTATTTCCACGCTTCAAATGGAAAAATCTTCAACATCAAACTTGCTTAGAATGATGTTTTAAGGCTAGTAGGGAGGTCATGAGATGTTGAAAAGGCTTGTATCAAAAAGTGATAAAAATGGCCTAAAATGGAGGCATAAGTTAAATAAGTTGAGATTGAAAATTGGAAATCACAAGTTATACATCCAAACCATGTCATATAATAGGTCATTTTGACTCCAAATGGCATTCTAAGAACAATAGTTCAGCCACAATTTTGATTTGAGGCTTATATCTTAGGGCTGCCTTAGAAATGGCTTACTTGCATATTAAGGCACCAAAGCAAAACTCAACAAAACTCAATAAATAAGTTGGTTATGCATTGTAACACCTCATAAATCTCATGTGGGGAGAATTTCAAGTCAGAATCAAAGGTTACAAGAAGCTTGGCATGAGATAGCACATAAGGAGAATTGAAATCAAAATGTCATGACATGAGAAGTTCAAGTACTCATTGGATGGTCCTAGATGGTTCTAGATGATTCTAAACCACTCTATATAGCATGTATGACTTGCTTAGATGCAAGGTTGGTGAGAATTGGTGCAGAGAAGAGAGAGTGAGATCAAGAATCTTCCATTGCAAGTCAAATTTCATTTCTTCATTCTTCTTCATTTCCATTCATTCTTTCCATTCAAACACATTCCATACATCATAGTGAAGCTGTGCAGATTGAATTGAGATCAAATCCATGGTGAATTGAAGAGTTGGTGATTGAAATTTCAAGGTGGCAAGTCAGAATCGAATTCTGAGATTGAGGCTTCCTCCATCAAAATTGTTGCAAACAGTACCAAGATTGGCATCTAGGGAAACTTTCTGAAGAGTTTCAAGGTCTGAATTGGTGGATTTCATCATCTGTTCATCAAGATTAACCAGGTTTGTAAATTCTTCCCTACACCATGTTTTAGGCATAATTAGGTTAATTTGTTAGTGTAGAAATGTTAGAGACCAATAAGAGATGGATTTTGGAGAGTTAGGGATCAATTGGTGAAGATTGAATTATGGACCCCATTTCATTGATGACCAAGAACTCGTGTTATATTGAGATATAGAATGAACTAGACATCAAGAATCATTCAGTGTGAGTTGGTGAGTGATCTGAGGTAGCTAGTTGCAAGAATTGTTAAGGTTGATGACTGAGTACATTTTGGATCTTGGATCGTGTTTCAAGTTAGAGGAAGTTTCAGCTGATTTTAAGATTATGATTGTGTTCAGCATGAAAAATGGAGTGTGTTAGTGCTTTGTATCGTTAATTTTGAGCAAGAAATGGAGGAGCACGAATGGATGGAAGCTTGCAGGTGGAGCTCTGTTTCCATGGAGGAGTTTCAGCAAACCCTAGCTGAAGGTTGAAGCAACCTCCCAACCATTAGATCTAGCTTGACCCATTGACTATTCCTGAATCCAACGGCCCATATTTAATTTCGTCTTGGAGGGAATCCTGAGAAGCAATGAAACGATGCGTTTCATTAAAACCTGAGTTCTGGGCTTAAGTGGATCCAATGACTAATCCCACCCCCAATCAAGGCCCATGAATGATTTACACTGCATTTGGCTTCTATTTGCACCGCTTATTTTCTATTTTCTTCATGATTTATTAATTAATTTCTGATGATGAATTGGGCCCAGCGCGTATACTATCTGAACCCCCCACTTTTAGCCCATGTGATGATTTGAACTGTCTATGGTTACTAGCTGCACCCCATCTCTTAATATTTTCATTTTATTTTTCTTCCATTTTATTTCAATCTTGGAAAAATCATATCAATTTGAAAATTAATGATTTTTTAATGGGAATTTTTGCTCCCATTTCATATTCATGTCTAGAAAATTGACAAATAAAAATATTTTCCTTTCATGCATTTTTGATATTTTTTGTGTATTTTCTACTTTTATTGCATTTTATTTCTTTTATGTTGATCCATGAATTTGTAGAATCTTGTTTAGGTAGTTCCCTTAACATTTTTAGACCATTCTTTTTAGGATAGTTAGATATAAGCTTTAGATTCCCCTTGGATTTATTCCATAATTTTGTGATGAGTTTTAGGATAGTTTTGATTAGATGACATTAGGTTGTATAAAATTAGGTTAATCCTTAACATAGGTCCATAATAACACTAGAATTTTGGGTTTTTAGGACAAATTAGACTATGGGACATATAGGGCATTAAGGGTAGGTATGTAGGATCCCTTAGAAATTATATTAGGATTTAATATAGTAGTATACTATTTTTAAATGATTTTTGTAGTTGATGATTGTTTGTGTTGCCCTTGTGGGCTTGTATTCTTATTTGCTTTGCTTGGTGGGCTTGGAGAGCTTGGCCTTGTTCTAAGGAGCATTGAGGAGCATAGTAGAAGACTTGAAGATGGATTGAGGAGCTTGAGAGCTTGATCTTGTTTGTTTTGTTATTGTTTTAGGGTTAGGGATTAGGAAGAGTTTAGACCTAGTTAACTTCTTTCTTAAACATGGATGGTATCTTTCACCTCCATTCCTTCCTATGATTCAAAGTCCTTCCCTGGTATACACCTCTCTCCTTTGGAGGGATAAGTGATGTACCTAGGGAGTAGAACTTTTGAGGGAACCATTCCTTTGATGTTGAACCCTTAAAGGTCACCTTTGGTGGTCAGTAAGCAGTTCAATATCCCCAGCTTATCCAGTAAGTGATTTCCTCTGGTTTGATTATCTTGAGAGATGCTGAGCTTGAGGTTGAAGGTGAGGACTCCAATGAAGAGTGTAGAAGAGGATGAATCCTTGAGTATTGCCATTCCAGCTGAAGCTTGAAGAGCAACAAGAGCAAGTTGATACTTGAAGACTGAAGGATTAAGTTGACACTTCTAAGTGATTGAGATTGATTCTGAAGAGCTGAAGCTTGAAGAACAAAGGAAGTTGATACTTGCTTTGATACCTGGGGATCCTGAAGGAGCCAAGTTGATACTTATGATTGATAGTGAAGCCTGAAGGTGGAGCTGATCAAGGAGCTGAAGCTCAGAGAAGATAAGTTGAAACTTATGTTGAAGGGTTGAAACCTGGAAAAGCAATTGATATTTGTCAAGAGTGATTGAAGTCTGAAGACTGAGTTGCTGTTGGAAGAGCTGAAGCTTGGAGTTGAGAGAGGAGTTGATCTGCTTTCTTTTCTTTTTTCTTTTCTGTATTGATGTGTTTTGTTTGACTTGTTTGATGCATTAGAATAAGTTTATATCTAGAATAGGTAGAGTCTAGGAGCATGATTGCACTAGAGGTTGAGTTGCTCCCTCTGCTTGTATTGTTACTGTGTGGCTTTGCTTGCGGGTATTCGGTAGAGCCTAGCTCCCTTGCCCATGTGGTTTGTTTGCCTGATGGCATTTTATTTCATTTCTTTCTGTATGATTGCAGTTTACTGTTATTGCTTGATAGCATGTTGTTTATATTTCAGTATGATTACTGTTATCCATTCTGGCTTGAGGTTGAGATGAGCTTGTGGAGGCTGAGGCCCCACACACATTTCCTCCCTCACTTGCATTGCATGCATTTTACTGTTAAGCTGATGCTTTGTCTATTTTGGTGTATCATTGACATGATCCCTTAGGACTCTCATTTCCTTTGATAAGGAATTGATGATAGAACTTTAGGTTGAAACCTATGCATGACAACTCCTAGGAGTTCCTTGTTCAAACCTCAACCATAGGATGAATCCATGGCATGACAACAGTAGGACTTGAT